ATTGGTGATGTAGCGGCAGTGTGTATCGGTTGAACTGCTGCTGTAGATCATCTGATTGGATGGTTTGAATATCAGAACTGTCTGTCTGTGTAGTTCCAGAGAAAGTTCCTTGTGGAAGTTATACTGTTCGGAGTTGGATCAGCAGATAGTCAGTAGGGTGCACGTTAGGTGCACGTTAGGTGCACGTTGTGTGGACGTTGCATGGATGTGGCACGTGGGATGATTACCCTCAACAGGAATTGTTCTAGTTCGGTTGTAGGGATCGGAACATTACGTTGTTGGAACGTTGCGAGTAGTATATTGTTCCGATAGTGTTTGTGTTGGCGTGTTGATCGTTGGCTGGGGTGCTGGGAGCACACGAGCTAGCCCCCACACGCTGTCACTCCACTTTGCCTACCTGTCTCAGAGGGCAGTTTCTCAATAATACAACATCTTTCTCCAAGAGCCAAGGGTTTACCAACATACGGCATCACCTGCCTGATGACAGATGACATCCTGCAGAAATATCACATCCGTACATACATACATGATATACATCTATCTACTACTGCGTATGTTCCCTACAGCACAAACCGTCATTTCCACGTATGAATACGTGTTTCATACGTCTCTGTATTGTATACCTACAGCTTAAACCGTCCTACGCACGCATGGATACGTGTCTGTCTGTATACCACGCCAGCGGTACGTCATCGTGGCAACTTGTGCATGCAGCGGAATCGTCTTTCAATTCGAATCTCACACCACATTTAGCCATCCAGATAAATCGTCAAATACATCATTTCATTTTTTGCTGCACAACCACCTCCGAACAACTGCGAAGATGAACCGACTCAGGTAAAAGTCGATCGACGGATACCCTGCGAATCGGGTCCTCCTCAACACAACCACGTCAGAACAACACGGAGGAGGGAGTAAAAATGTTCTCTCGTGCCCCCCTAGACTATACATTGAAACAACGATACTTTACTACACTCACAAAAACCTGAAATGGCTGGGTAATCGAATGCACACCGTTCCGTAAGGGTGCGCATATTCACACACCCGACGAACCAACTTCTACACAACTCTTCCCTCTACACCTTCCTAGCATACCATACAGATCGATACACAAGGTGGCTACCAAACTGTCTTGTTGACCCTGTTTCCCACGGGGGAGATATCCCTGTGTGCTGCTGCCCGGGAAATCGTCGAACAACAGACTTTTTGCTGACGCTATGGATTCATTGTTAATCTATCTTAGACTCCTTTCTTCGATAGAGATGGATTCGTTGGGTCATATTATGTGACCCCGGTTGGGTCGTCTAGCTAGTAGAAGTGGAGGATGGGGGCCAGAGGGGCAGACGGCAGAGTCCAATGATGGGAGAAAAAAAAATGCTAGTATTCACTGCCGCCCTCAGCGGTCTGTGGTGTTGAGACTGGGTGCAATGTTATCCCAGGAACAGCAGATGAAAAAGGACCATGTACTAGGTATATCCGTCACGCAAGCCCCTCAGGCGAGCTGGTCACCAACACGCAAGCCCCTCAGGCAAGTGCCGGGAGCACACCGCCGTGTGCTCACCCGGGGGGACCGCACTTGACCCCAACCGCATACATACCCATCATACCCATAATTCCCATACGCGTATCCCCCACAGAGGATGCACAGATCGGACTCATATCCAAGTACCGCAAACAGCCCCCCTACTTGATACAATGTACGATCTTGCAACCCTTCACGCGCAATCAGCCAACACAGAAAAACACCCCCTGAGAAAACTTACTCAACAAAACTGGCTACACATCNACGCGTATCCCCCACAGAGGATGCACAGATCGGACTCATATCCAAGTACCGCAAACAGCCCCCCTACTTGATACAATGTACGATCTTGCAACCCTTCACGCGCAATCAGCCAACACAGAAAAACACCCCCTGAGAAAACTTACTCAACAAAACTGGCTACACATCCAACACAAAGCGTCTCCATCCATCAGTTTATTCACGAATCCAACGCGTTCGTCTCTGGAAATAATCTCAAACCGTTGACACAAATGAATCATCCTCAGAAAGGTACCCAACAATTATTTGTGCTACATCAGAGAGGCGTCGGAACGAAAACGGATATTTCTGGAAAAAACAACTTTGCAAGAGTTGGCACCAAATCCTCAAACAAAACAAAAACTCAACTACTTGACCAATCAAAACGATAATTCGGAAAGCAAAACGGGGCGCCAACCATTAATCGTCAAAACATGTCAACTCCTTCCTCCAATACAGTGTCCAACGACCAAATCCTAAACAGAGCGCACCCACTAATCGGTACGGTCGCTGTTGTCCAAGAAACGATAGAAAACGTAAGCAAGCATCCACGCAAACAGCCCCCCTGTCAGCTCCCAAAATTCACCCCGAGCTAATATTTCGATGCCAACAGCCCCCTTGCTTTGCCGTTCACCTAATACACAAGTAGGTGCGACCAGAAAATAAACCAATTCGATTGCTGCTCATGCCCTCTAGAATCATGGTCATACATGACATCCCCCCCCCATGATTTTCGATGCAACAGCAGCGAAACATGCGAAACAAACCAGAACATGAAAACACGTAACACACAAGGCATCAAACTCCAGAAAAAGTTCGTACCGTATGCAAACTGTCTCCTCTACTGGAACTCCGAAAGCCCCCCTGCTCCCTGACCGGTATGCCTTCACGCATGTCAAACAACGCGCTATCATCCCATTTCGTGCGCGCGGCCAGAAACACACCGCAGAGAGCGACCACTTAACTCAGGACCTCACATAAAATCCAAAGTATCGAAACATTCTATGCATAAGTGCAAAGTATCCAGTTCGTAGAAAAAAAAAACTCGACTGAACGTACTCCCTCCAAAGAATACGGAAATAGTATGAAGCATTCAGCTGTAAGGTTAAACGGGACTGAAAATATACGAACCTGGGAAAAAAAATACCCACGTGCTGCTTTCTATTCCACAGGTTGTGGCAATGCTTATCTTAGCTTGTCGCAGCGTACAATTATTATCAAGAAACCAAGTACAAAAAAAAATTACGCACACGCCGTGGCATATACGTGTTTTCTGCATCAAAGTGCACGGTTCGCTAGCAAGGGAAAAACAGAACAAAAAAATAAATACGAAGCCAAATGGCGAAGCTAAAACGTACATGCCTGCTCACAAAACCGAACAAAGTCGTAAACATTTCACATGTTCTCTCACATGGTTGTTACAAGGTGAGGTCGTCGCTGTCACCGTATCCTCCCCGTTCCCGGTGGACTCGACGGCGCCACCACTGCTGCCGCCGCTGCCATCGCCGCCGTTGCCGTTCCCCGCCGCCACGACCGTCATGAGTTCCAGCGCCAACACGGCTGCCGGTGACGTCGCTGCTGCCGCCTCTACCACCGCCGCCGTTGTCGCCACTGCCGCCGACGGGGCTCTGGCCAAAAGCCGCCGCTGCCGCCTTCTGCTGCCGTCGGAGCCCAGGCGGAAGCCACCACTCCCGTCGCTTCTCCTGCTGCCGCCGGTGTCGCCGCCGGAGCTCTGGCCGAAGCCGCCACTCCCGTCGCTGCTGCGGCTGCCGCCGTTGCCACCGTTGCCGCCGCCGGAGCTGCCACTCCCGTCCTGCCCCTATCGAAGGGGTACTCCACCCCTGGTACCGCCCCCGTCTCCTCGCGAAGATGTCTTACCCGGGTCGAAGGGGTGCGTCGGGGCTCCACTCCAGGTTTCATCCAACCCCTCATCCCCGCTCCCATCACCACCGCTTTCCTCGCTGCTGCCGCTACTGCTGCTGCCGCTGCTGATGCTCACGTCCCCCTCAGCCTTCCCGGGGTCGACAGGGTGCGTCGGGGCTCCACTCCATATGTCATCCAACCCCTCGTCCCCGCTCCCATCGCCGCCTCCGTCCTCGCTGCTGCAGCTGCTGCTACTGCTGCTGCTGATGCTGCTGTTACTCACGTCGACCCCAGCGCATTGGCTATCGAGCTCCTCCACCACTGGCAACGGCGTCGTTGTCGCACCAACCGCTTCCTCCAACTCTTCGTCACATAACTCCGTCACCGGTGCCGCCGCCGCCGCCGCCGCCGCCGCCGCCGCCCTTGCGGCCGTCTGGACACCCGACGCCAACGCGGCGACCGGGGACGCGGCTGCTGCTGTCGCCGCTGCCGTTCCCCCCGTCACCGATATCGACGCCGCCGCCGCTACGGCCGTCTGGACAACCAACGCCAACGTGGCGACCGGGGACGCGGCTGCTGCTGTCGCCGCTGCCGTCCCCCCCGTCACCGATGTCGCTACCGCCGCGGCTGCGGCCGTCTGGACACCCGACGCCAACGCGGCGACCGGGGACGCCGCAGCTGCTGTTGCCGCTGCCGTTCCCCCTGTCACCGACGCCGCCGCCATCGCCGCTGCGTCCGTCTGAGTACCCGGCGCCAACGCGGCGACCAGGGATGATGATGCTGCTGCTGCTGCCGATTCCGACGAATGCTTGGGGTGTTGTGATTCCGCGGACTACAACAACGTGATACGATCCAAGCATGTGTTCCTCCGCTACACGTCTACTGCTGTATCCCCCCTCCAAGAGGTCCAGCTCATCGCGTTGCCGCACTACTGCAGGTGCTACACGTGACGTTGCGGACCGCTCGGGAGAGCGAGTAGTGGAGTTTGTGTTTACGTTGAGAGAAGCCACGTTGGCGGGGGCTTTTACCGGCAAATACACCGCAGACGAACCGGCAGCAGCCCCCCCCCCCCTACTCACCAACGAACGCCCCACCACTCACTTGTCCACCTGCACGCCCGGTGAAGCCGTCCGCTAGCTGTTGTTGCCGCGGCTGTTGCTGAGAGTCACCGCCGTACACCACGCCTGGCTGCTGCTGCTGCTGCTGCTGCTGCTGCTGCTGCTGCTGCTGCTGCTGCTGCCGACACACAGACCCGCCGCCAAACTCGCCGTTCCTCCGCTGCTGCTGAAACGGTCCAGGTCGGTTGTACTTCCAGTAGATCATTTCGTGGTTTGGTGCCAGGCACTTGATGCTTACGTGTCCACAACGCCCGCACCGATCGCACTGAGGAGGCCCGTAAAATCGGTTGTACTTCCAGTAGAACATTTCGTGGTTTGGTGCCAGGAATTTGATGCTGATGTGTCCAGAACGCCCGCACCGATTGCACTGAGGAGGCCCGTGAAATCTGCTCGGCTCACTGCCGACATAAAATCCACCAGTCGCATCGACATTCTCGCAATCGCGAGTGCAACCCATACCTTGCTGCTGCTACTGCTGCATCGGCCCCGCACACATGCTGGAGCTTCCGCTGCCGCAACTCATCGGCGCACTCGCCGTTGCCTCCGATGCTCTTCGTTCCTCCATCCCTCGTAAAATCACTCTTATTTGGGACCGCCTTCCGCCATCCCCACAAAAACGCTCCGAGCCCTCATCTCCATAATATGCTCTCATACCCTCGTCATCGCCGAACCAACACCTGGCCTAGCTAGGCTCCACGCTCGATATATCGTGTTAGTGTGCACTGCCGCCCTCAGCGGTCTGTGGTGTTGAGACTGGGTGCAATGTTGTCCCAGGAACAGCAGATGAAAAAGGACCATGTATAAAAAACATAATATTTTTTCAATGAATCCATTGCGTCAAAAAAAAAAAAATGAAATCGACCCAACCAATCCATCTCTATCGAAGAAAGGAGTCTGATACGACCCATGATTATGGTTGCCAAATCTTTGCGAAAATGTCCAATTTTTCAAAGATTTGCGAATAAAGATATGTTTTCACTTTTCATGGGAGAAAATCTTCGGCAAAATATATATTCGCAAATATTTTCAAATGGGGCAAAAGTCGCGCTCGTAATGACAAATTGTTTTGAAACATTGAAATGAGCAGGTCGCGAAAATCTTTTCCAAGAGCGGCGAGACTAGCAGCCGACAGCCCCGTCCGTCCTAAACACCAACCACTGCGCAGCGCACACTCAACGTAGCAAGCTCATAGAGGGATCCGGACAACCCTAGAGTCGCCGTGTCAACGTTTTGCCGGCTGACACATGTCGGGAGCTCGTCAAGCGTGCACAAAAAAACAGACAGGGGTGGTTTGGAGGGCAACGTCTTGGTCTCGTCTTGAAACCGAGAACAATTTTTCTCACACGCCCGGAGCGCTATCGCCACAGATTGGCGGGCACAGCATGAGCTCAATGCATCAAGGGTTGTGGGGAGCCCTTTGCGAGCACGTTACATTCAGTTTCCATGACGCATTTGTGGTTTGTCTGTCACAAATCGTTGGTAGCAGTAGACCACGATTGATTCCCGCCGCACTTTTGATGCATTGCGAGCAAACCACACGAACGAACGATAAGATATTTTTGGGCATAAAGACGATACAATTGACAGTTTCGGACTCAAAAAAATTCCGAAGTAAGGAAACATATTTTGAGTCAAGCCGTCGTTCTGAGGATCGCTCCTGACGGTCTCGCTAGCACCCACAACAAGGGAAAAAATTACAGATTTAGCAGCATTTGGTTTACGACGCGGGGGAGTACCAGCGGGCGGCGGACCTCCTTGCTCTAGGGAAACTAGGGCCACGATAGCCTCGTCCTCCCTGTCGTCGTCCTTTTGTTCTTGACCAAGCTTCGAGCGACGAGTCGCCGGGTGACACGGAGGGAGTCCACGATTAGGTGAGGGTGTTTTCTTGGCAGACGCCCCCTTCGCAGCTCTGTTACCACTACGCCCAAGCACGACCCCCGAACCTCCACGACCGCGACTGTTACGCACTCCACGTACCGAACCTCCTCTGGCTGCAGACCGCGTGGTTGTAGCGCCTGGCCTTGTCTCCGTGATCCAGTTCCTGGCCTGCGAGGTGTGGACTGCAGGACCGAAAAATACTTTTGTTCAGATGCTTTCGAATAGTTGGATTAAGTACATACATGCCCCCGCCTGGCATCAGGGGGGGGGGAATGAGAGAGTGAACACTCATTCGGGCGAACTTCACGTACGAGCCCGAATCGACCATCAACGAATCTAGCCAGATGGCGTACCACCAGGCACTCGACACGATTGCCTGCCCC